TTCTTTCTTTCTTTCTTTCTTTCTTTCTTTCTTTCTTTCTTTCTTTCCTTCCTTCCTTCCTTCCTTCCTTCCTTCCTTCCTTCCTTCCTTCCTTCCTTTTTTTTAAATCCTCCAGATTCTCTCCTATCATCATTTACTCCTCACAGGCTGAGAAGAGTTCACAGAATCCTAGAACCCTAGTGTGTCACATTTGGAAAGGGACCAGAATGACCATGGAGTTCAACCCTCCCATTTTACAAATGAGGAAACTAAGGCCCAGAGATCAATTTAAGTGAAAATAATGTTTAAACCTCAACACCATAAGAAAGGTGTCTGATTGCAGGATAATAAAGACAATTAGAGGTCTTCAAACCCAACTACTAATTTTATAGATGAGGGTGCTGAGGCCCAGAAAAATGAAGCAACTTGCCATGGGTCACACAGCTAGTAAGTGTCTACAGCAGGATTTGAACCCAGGTCTTCCTAACTTCAAGGCCATCAACTAACATTAAGCCATGCCGCTCTGCCTAGAGAACTATTTGTAGTGAGCTAGTTCTGTTGAGATGAATACAGATGATGGGGGATAAGAAGAGAAAGGGACGTGCTCCCTAAAATGGTTATAGGACTTTCAAAAATTATCAGAAGTGGGGGTGGCTCATGCTACAAATGGCCATGGTCAGGTTAGTAAGAACTAGGCTAACATGCCTGGCCCATGTCAAAGGAGCAATTAGCCTTTATGCAACTCATGTTAACAGGCCCATTATTCCTGAATCAATATAGACTATTGAGACAGAATATTTCTGAAAGCAACAGAGACAGGATCTGGATCTGTGATTTCTATGCTATAGGGAATTCCCAGACTAGGAAATTCCCTCCACTAATGCAGGTTAGTTCCTTCTCTGCAATGTTATAGATTTAGAGAGAGGGCCATCTTCATTCATCCTGATCTATATCTTGCCATTGAACCCAGATGGCTCCGGAGGAGAAAGTGAGGCTGGTGACTTTGCACAGACCTCCCTCACTTAAATCCAATTCACTTGCAAGTCATGGCATCATCTTCCTGATGCCATGGTCCTCTTCAAGAAAGAAGGACATACAACAAAACAACAATAGATTTGGAGAACTGACTGAGCCCCAAGCGCTGAATGACACTTGCCCAGTGTCCAGCATCTAGAATGTGTCAGATGTGGGACTCAAACCCAGTTCTTCCTGGTTCTGAGGCCAACTGTCTATCCACTCTACCACTTTGGCTCTTTGAGGCCATGCTGTTGCTCAGTCCTGTTCATTTATTCCTTCAGCAAACCCTTAATGAGCACCTACCTCCCAGAGTTGTTATAAGGATCAAATGAGATAGTGTTTATAAAGTGTTTAACATAGTGCCTGGCACATAGTAGGAGCTTAAATACATACTTATTCTCCTTTGTATAAGGTGCTATACTCAGCATTCTGGAGTACGGTGTATCAAAAGTGAATATGGCATGAATATATAAATTAGCTTGGGTAAAATTGCCATTTTTATTATATTGATTCCATAAATTAAAAAATTGAAAAAATAAATAAAATTTTATATATACATAAAAAAGTGAATATGTCATGGCTCCTGGCCTCAAGAAATATACAGTCTAGAAATAGAGATGACATATGCAAATAGATATAATATAGGGCAATATGTGGTAAGCTTACTATAGAAATTCAGAGAAATTAGAAATTTTCCTGGGAAAGCTTGGGGAAGGGGGCGTGGTGATCTAAGCTGAACCTTAAATGATGCATAGGATTTCAACAGGTAATGAATAAGGTGGGAGAAGGCATACTAATGAGAAAATCACACACACACACACACATTTATAACAGAATAAAATGTTTGTTAATGGAATACTGAGTATTCCATTTTGGCTAGTCTCAGATTCACGTAAAAGATAGAGGTAGATAAAGCAAGAAAAAGATCTTGGGCATGTGTAGAGTCTTGAAAGCCAGGATGAGGAGAATGGACTCCATTTAGTAAGCAATGGAGAACCAGTCAAAGTTTTTGAATAACATGGTAGCCAGATCAAAGAGGTACTAGATGAGGAACATTTATATGACACTTTAAGGCATTTCTCTCACAATCCTGCAAGATAGGTGGTAAAAATATCATCATTCTCAGTCTACAGGTGAAGAAACTGAGGGAGACAAGGGGCTTATGTAAGGTCATGCAGTAAATGTCTGAGGCCTGATTTGAACTGAGGTCTGTCTGACTCTAGGCCCAATGCTCTATCCACTGAACCACCTGGGTACCTCTTAAAAGAGAGATGGATTTGGGAACACAGGGAAGGGAAGGTCAATAGGATTTAAGATACGATTGGATGCTGTGGCAAGAAAGTTGAAGGTATCAAAGATGACTTTATGTTTTTAAGCTTGGTAATTGGAAACACGGTCAGGCTATTATTGTTATTATTGTTGTTGTTGTTATTGTTAGTATTATTTTAATAGGGAAAAGTAAGGAGGAGTAACTAGCCAGAGAAGAGGATGGTAGTGATGAATTCAGTTTTAGATTTGTTGTGCATGTAGTGCCTGTGTGACATATGGTAGATATCCCAATGGGATGCTGGAAATTTGATTAGGGAAGACATCATGGATGAAGATAGAGACTTGGGAGTCATAAATTGAAACTCTGAGATTGATGGCAAATATAGCTTACCAAGAGAGAAGCTGTAGAGAGAAGAAGACAGAGTCTTGGGAAATGATCTCATTTAGAGAAGAGGAACAAAGGTCATTGGGTGGAGAGTAGAAAACCCAGTAAAGGAGTAATTCAGTTCATCAATGAACATTTATTTAGCACCTACACATGCCAGGAACTGCCCTGGCTAGCACTAACTAAGCTTGGGGAGGTTCCCCCTCCCCAAGGATCCATCCAGGGAAGGATGGATACAAAGCCAAAAATGAAACAATCCTGTCCTCAAGGATGTTATGCTCTCAGAGGAAACAATGTCTACACATGAAAGTAATATGTGTACAAAGTAAATACAAAGTTGGGGGCGGGGTCCCTAACAGCTAGGAAAGATCGGGAAAAGGCCTTATGTAAGAGGAATAGGAGTTTTAAAGGTAGCTAAGGTTCAAAGAGAAGGAGTGCATTCCGAGCAGGAGCTATAGCCATCAAAACCCTATATATGTTATTGTTTGAGGCAATGTGTTCTAATGGATAGTGTACTGGCCTTTGAGTCAAAAGGATCAGGGTCCCAAGGTCACCTCTGAGCCGGGCAAGTCATTAAACATCCCTGGAACTCGGTTTCCTTACTTGTAAAATGAGGGTGGAGTCCAAGGTTGCAACAGGAGGGGGATAAGAAGTTTGGCCAGAATGGTGGTGGTTTGGGGTGATTGTTTTTTGTGAACCTGGTTGCCTCTGCAGGGAATAGTTCTGAGAGCTTGTTCTCGTAAGGCCAGTTGAGTTTATCTTCAGTGCTTTTCCACTGTCTTTTCAGGGCACTGGGGCTGCCCGAGAGGATACACCCCTACCTTCTATTTATAGCCATTGTTCTCATTTTCCCAAGATACTGGCAGGGGATTACTTCCATAATAAGTGTTCTGCTATTAATAGCTGAAGATGATTTCATGTGTTTCACCTTTGAGGGGAAAGTTTCACAGTTAAGGGGGCTTTCAATGCATTAGCCAAAATCCATGGTGGGAAGCCCAGTCACAGTGTCAGGGCTACAGAAGACATTTCTTGACGAGACTTGTCAATTCATATGAGTCAGTGGTTGCCTACGCCATCCACATGTCAACCTGACTCTTAAGTATAGATCTGAGTGTTACATGTTACTGAGCAAATAAGGAAGTATTCTCTACTCCAGAATGGATGCTATGTTTAAGACTTCCTTCCCTTTTGTTATACCCTTGACTACTGTGATTTGTGCTCCTGAGTAAGCAGAGGTACGCAGGATTCTCTATAATGGATTGAAATATAGTTATAATGGAGGGAGAATGGCATTCATCACATGAGGACATGCAAGGAGGACTATAGTCTGATATAGCGGAAAGAGCACTGGACTTAGAACCCTTGGCTTCTAATCCTACCTGTGCTATTACTAATTGTGTGGCCTTAGACAAATCACTTAACCACTCTGGACTTCAGTTTCCCCATCTGTAAAATGGGAAGGGAAGGGGGCAGTGAACTAGTTAAATTAAGGTTCCTTCCAGCTCTAAGTCCAAGGAGCCATTGGATTTTATTGAGCCGAGGGAGTGATGTGGGCTCTAGATAGCTCTGTCTGGCAGCTGTGTGGAGGATGGGTTTGTGAGGGAAGAGAATTGAGTCAGGGAAACCTAATTGGAAGCTATTGCAAGAGTCCAGGTGAGAGGTGAGGAGGACCTGAACTCAGGAGGTGGTGAAGTGAGCAGGGGAAAAGGAATGAATATGAGAGACTTTGTGCAGGTAGCATTGGCAAAGTTGAGGATGACTTTGAAATTGCAAACCCAAATGATTGGAAGGATGGTGGTGCCATTAATTAAAAAGAACAGCAACTAAGATAATCTTACGGCAAGGGAAGAGGAAGAAGGGATTATGTAGAGCATGAAATGCTATAGAGAAGCAAAGAGGTCAGAACTAAGAAGAGATCATAGAAGGTCATTAGTGATGTAGGCAGAAGCCCGATTTCAAGGAATAAGGCATGAGTAGGAGGTGAGGAAGTTGAGGCAGTAAGTAGAGATGACTCTTTTGAGCAATTTCACTGTGAAAAAGGAGTGAAATCATTGGGTCTTTTGGAGTGGGAGGAATAAGGCAAGACCTGTTTTTTAAGATAGGAAAAAATCTTACTATGTTTGTAGGCAGAGGAGAAGATAGTGGAAGGAAACTGTTAGACTAAGGAAAGGAGAGATAATTAATGGAACTGAAGTCCAGGTGCTAGACTGGTCAACACTCCAGGCTTTCAAGTCAACAGGGATGATAGCAGGAGACAGGATGAAGTCATTGAGGAGGATTGGGAGTATGTCTTCGAGGGCAGCAGACTTAATGATGATGGAAATCAAAAGAAGACATGGTGAGGGGTGATAACAGAGCAATGATTTGAAAGTCTGGGTTGGGATATCCAAAGTAGCCCCTTTGTGAAGAGGAAAACCTAAATTTAGCATTAACTCCTCTAAAATGTAGGGGAATCTAATAAGTCTTTCACATAGTCAGATCTACCATTTTCTCTTATGTGATTTTTGTCTTCTATTAGACAGTGGAGAGTAGAGATAAGAGTAAGCCTTCTGCCAAAGGGTGGTAATGCTGCACTAGCACCTACCTACCCCGGGAATGAAAGTGGTGTAGAAATTATGGCCAAGGATGATGTGAATGAACACGATGATATTGTTAAAGAGTTGAGACAAACTCAATGAATAAGGATAACTTTTATTATAAGATACTGGGGGCTTATTGAAGCTTTGTAACTTCTCCCTATGCCTATCATTGTTATTTTCCACTTTGTTTCCCACTGTGTTAGCAGTAAAAACCCTAGGAAGCCAGAAAAGGGATTGTGTCATTGTTCTGTGGGCTAGAACGTAGGGGAGAAATTGTGAGATATTCCATTCTGCAGTGGGGATGGGAGAAGGGGAGAAACCTCAGAATGGAAACCATGGGTGATATTAGCTAAAAAACGAAGTGGCAAACTAGTCCTTAGGGCCTAGGGATAGAAAAACCAAGAACAAGGGAATAAAGGGGCAGGGGGGTTATACCAGGGGAAACCTTTATGCCTGACAAAGCAGAATCAGTGACCAAATAGTATTCTTGTAAGGTCTCTGAGGGGACCCATACCTTAATTATTTTTTCTTTCTTTTTTAAATACATTTTTGGAAATAAATTTTAAATTTTTATGAGATCTTTTGTTTTTACATTACCTAGATTTTCCCCATATATCCTACCTTCTCCCTCCACGGAACAAGGATTTTTAAAGAAAAAAAATTAAAAAGGAAGAAGAAAAAAATGAGCAAAACTGATCAATACACCAGAAAGATCTGACATATGCAATGTTTCACACCTGTGAAACCTGCCCCTCCCCCACACCTCTGCAAAGGAATGAGGGAAGTGTCATCTTAGATCTTCCCCAGTACTAAGTACATAGTAGATTCTTAATAAATATTTGATGGATAACTCAATGATATGATAGAAAAAAAGCACATGATTTAAAATCAGACGAGCTTGGTTCAGATCCTGTCCCCAACCCTTACTAGTTAAGTGAATTGCCCAAGGTCATCCAATTTTTCTGAGCTTCAGTTTTCTGATCTATAAAAATGAAAATAATAATTACAGTAACTATTTCATGAGACTGTTGTGAAGAAGGGGCTTTGTAAGCTGTACAGTGTTATGCAAATATGATTTGTAGTTACTATGAATTGATCCTGACCTCTCCTTGCTTATGATTGAGCAGAGAAAACGTGTCCTCCATTGAAAGAGCTATGAGGGAAGTAGCATCTCAGAGGAAAGTTAGATTCCAGTTAAAGGTAGGGGTAGAGGGAGAAACCACTTGTGAAAAAGGTCTATAATATGGGGGAGGTTGCTCATAATATAACACGAAACAATCAACAATCAACAAAACTAGCCAATTTAGCAATAATGGGAGCCTGGGAAAGGGTAGATGGAGTTGGGTAGAAATGAGAGTGAAGGAGGAGGCAGCTGAGTCAGTAGGTGGATTAGAGTGATGAGGACAGCAGGAGGTTGGAGGCATCCTAAAGGTGCCTATCAGTGCTAATGAAGAGGAAATACTGATTAGGCAGAGAGCTGTTACTGGACAAGGATGGAGGATCGAGCATGCTCAGTGTTATATGAATGGGGTGTTGATGCAGCAGTAGGAGCCCCTGCCAGCATGTTCCCTGGGCACCCGGGCGCTCTTCAGAGTTTGCCTGTAGCTCACTCCCAGGCTTTTGAGCACAGGATACTTCTGGGGCTACTGTTGTGCTACTCTCTGTATTCTAGATTTATAGGCCTTCAATTTATTTCCCATGGAAGCAGCATTTTATACCCCATATTGCTTGGTCCCACTCACACTGTCCATCCTGGATAGCTCTTTCCCCAGACCCTCCTCTTGTTGTTTTGTTCAGTTGTTTTCAGTCCAAATCTTCATGACCCATCTGGGGTTTTCTTGGCAAAGATACTGGAGTGTTTGCCATTTCTTTCTCTGGCTCATTTTACAGATGAGGAAACTGAGGTAAACAGGGTGAAGTGACTTGCCCAGGGTCACGCAGCTAATAAGTGTCTGAGGCCTTCATAACTCCAACCCAACACTGTCTGCATTGCCCCACCTAGTACTTTACTCTTCTGGTGTAGGTAACAAATGCTGGGGATGCAAAAGTTTTTAAGTGCAAGGTAAGGAGCTCTAGGGCTGTAAAGTCAATGTTGAAGACTTTGGGAATGTCCTTTTCAAGGGGCCCAGACAGTTTCACTTTGAAACATACAAGTACCTTTTGCGCGTGCAAGGGACAGGTGTGCTACTTTGTAAGATGTACCTCCCTCAAAACAGAGACCTGGCCAGAGAAAGCTGAAGGTTTAGCAAAGAATTCCTCCATATGCAAGTATCTATTTTGATGGATGAGCTGTGTGCAGTGTGTCTCTTGTCACTTGAGAACGTAAGTTCTTAAAGGTCAGAGTGGAATTTTCTAGGGTAGGTAGGTGGTGGGGCCTGTCCACTACCTTCCTGCTTTTGCCCTTGATTAGGACTGGTATTTCCCTTCCTTCCTCTTCCTGCCAGATTCCAGTCACTGAAGAAAGCCCCTGTAGTGAGTAGTCTGGGTGAAAGAACTGGGGATTTTTAGCCTAGAGAAGGAAAGATGAGGTAGGGGTTGTAAGGGGAAAAGACAAAAAATTCTCCAAGTCTTTGAAGGGTTGTCATGTGAAAGAAGGATTCTACTTATTCTGCTTGACCACAGCAAGCAGAGTTAGGAACAGTGAATTAGAGCTGCAGAGATAGCTTTGGGCTTTATATAAGGAAATCTAATTAGAGTTGTCTGCCTCCCAAGGGAATGAGTTCCCCTACACTTGGAGGCTGCAAGTCCACTTCTTAAGGATGACTTCCAAGTTGCCTTCCAACCCTTGAGATGCCATGAATGGGGAGAAGGGCAGAAAGCTACTGCCTGAATCCCTCATGAGCACCAAGTACCCCCTTGACTACCTCCCACACTCAGTGCTCATCTACCTGGGAGGGAGCAGAGGACACGTTGCTATAGAACTATATACTTCCTTCTGCCCTACCAGGCTTCCTGGCCTGTATCCTTAATAACTTGCTGTGTTTGTGCCTTCTATTTCTGGCTAGTGATTGGATGCCATCTTGGTCAGTTGCCAAAATTTATTTGCATGCTTGATAAAATACATGCTGTGTCACCTTGGGGGAAAGCAGTGGTCACATTTTTAAAGCTAATGATTTTTGTTCTCTATGAAAACCTCTTTGAAGAATCTATGTTTCAGGGTTGATGGAAGTCCAGGTCTTAGCTGGCATTTACAGAGTCCTTCCAAACCTCCTATTCACTGAAAACATGGCATATCAGATGTGGAGGAGAGGCTGGTTTTTGGAAAAGGTGGCTAATACCAATTCACATTTAGGTAGTTTTAGAGTTATGGAGCATTTCCTTCAAAACCAACCCAGTGGAATAGGTGGTATAATTTCCATTTTGCAGATGAGAAAACTGAAGCTGAGGGGTTATGGCTCACCTAGCTAACCAGTGGAAGAGGTGGGTCTTAAACCCAGTGTCTCTTACTCCAAACCCAATGCTGTTTCCCCTCGTACCACATTGCCTTCTGGTCTCATAAGGGGTTGAGAAACTATACAGAGTGAAGGTAATCATTTCTCCTTCTCCCCCTGCAGCCCTGGCCCGGCACCGGTATATGAAGCAGGCTCGGGCACTAATCCCCCAGATGATGGAAAAACCCCTCTACTGGGGAGCTGACAGGAGCTCCCAGGTTTCATCTTACCAAATGAACCCGCTGCTGCAGCGAGGTAAACCCTACCAAAGAAATCTAGGAGGGCTGAGGGTAAGAACACGGGCTGTGTGGGGTCTTTGGGAAAAGGACGATGTGGATTTCTATGGCTCAGGGAGAAGAAGCATAGACCAAACAATTAGTTTGAAAATCAAATAAAGAAGGTGTTCCAGGGGACTTTCTGGTACCCCTATGAGCCAGGGATATCAATTTATCTTAAGACTTGTCATAAAGTAACATTGTCATTTCTCTTTGTGTTTAGATTTTTCCCCACCGGCCAGCTTCCCTCAGATGCCAGCGCCCCCAACACCAGCTCACCCCCCTGCTGCCAATGGAGTGCTAGAGTACTTAGAGAAGGAACTACAGAAACTCAACCCTGCCCAGTGCCCCCCACCAGACCACAAAGCAAGAATTGGTCGTCACTGCAGCATGCTGTCCTCCCTGGGCTCAGAAATAGTGGAACGCAGGATTATCCACCTTCCCCCCTTGGTCAGAGACTTTCCCTCCTCCCAGAGGACCAGTGAATCATCTCACCAGCAGTTTTCCAGGCAACCTTGGGCTCTGGAGGAAATGAGAGAGGAGAGAAGACAGAATCATTACTCTGATTTCCGTCGAGGGTCCTTGGAACCGTGGCCAAAGCCCAAAGCCTCAGAGCATAAGGGTCGTGAGAACTATGAGAGTGGGAGACATTGGCACTCTAGGGAGGAAGTCTCACCCAAGTCCAGGCCATACTCTGATAGCCTGAGTGATGATGGGTCCTATTCCCGGGAGACGCACTGGCGCCTCGACCGCTCAACACAACGGAGACGCTCTCCAGGGAGGCGCCATCGGCCAGGCCAAAGGGAGAGAGCCTTCAGGCACCGCAGCCACCGACATCGAAGCTATTCCCCGCCATCCTGCCACAGCTCTTGGAGTTCAGAAGAAGAGAAGGAGCAGCAGTATAATCAAAGCTGGAAATTCCACCGTCCTCCTCAACCCCCAAGCTGGACAGAAGAGAAGCCACCAAGCTACCGCTCTCTAGATGTCATTCCAGGCAAGAATGTCAGGAAAAAAGGGAATGTGGAAAGGCGTTCGGTGAGCCTGGGGAATTACTTGCTGTGATGGTAGGGCATGGAAAGAGAAGACCCATTAATCTGGCATAGTCTCGTTGTATTTGGCAGCCATTAAGCAGTGATGTCTCCTAGGCAAGGGGTGACCAACCCTAGACAGGTTTTACAAAGTGTCCAGGCAGCCAGAGAGTAAGCATTTATTAAATACTTACTTTATGCCAGACTTTATGCTAAGCAGTGGAGATCCAAAACAAAAATGAAATTCTAATACCTACCCTCAAAAAGCTTACATTCTTCTAGCAGAAAACAACTCTCTTAGGAGAGAGTGAGTTTGACAGACCTAGTTTTAGAAAGGGCAGCATCCCCAGGTGAGTGTAAAGAAAGCAAAAGTCTTGGATTTAAGAAAACCATGTAAGCATCACTTTCCTCCTATGGAAGATGGGGCAAATTAATTATGGTGATACCTCAAATGAAATAATATACATGAAACACCTAAAAGCAGTATTTGAATGACACCGACTAAATCCAAAGCATTATCAGAGCTACTGTGTCCTTTCTGACATCTGGCTTGCTGATTATGGCTCCCAAACTCGGAGATCATGGGACTCAGAGCTAGAGGAGGCCTTAGCAATCATCTCCTCCAACTTTCTCAGTTTACAATGGAGGAAATCCCTCTGCTTCGAGAAGATGGTGTCAATGATTTGTATAGAACATAAGCCCCCTACTCCCTACCCAAATGTTCAGAAACTAGGAAAAGGTCAGGCCTGCTTCGGGGAGAGAGCAACAAGAAAGCCAATGGTATGCGTTGCCGTGGTGGACGTTGAAGCAACCACTAGGAAACACCAGTGAGTGCCACTTTTTCCCATGACACCAAGCTCAGAGTGGTCTGTGGAGGGCCTCTGGATAACCCCACTAGGAGTTTCTGGCTACCCCTATGGCATTATTATCTTGAGATAATAATGGGCCTGTCCATGCCCTTAAGATGTAAGGACTACCTCAAATCTTTGGGTCTGGCCTCACGTGGCTTTGTCTTCTTATGGGGTGGTGGGTAGAAAGGGTGATTCTCTTCTTGACTGACAGATGTTATAGGAAACACTCAGGGGGTGAAGTGGTTTTGAGGGTTTCCCTGAGGGAAAGTAGAAACATAGTTTGAATATCTCAGAAGTCTCTCAAAATTCCCTGGTGAGGAACATCGTGGGTAATGGAACTAGTCTCAAAGTGTCCTAAAATTGTAATACTGGCCTGAACCAAATATGTACATCTTATGTGACTCTAGGCCAGGGAAGGTCTGCTTAAGACCTTCCTAGAAGTTTTTGGGGGTTCAGATCAGAAATGCTTCTTGAGATGGCAGGCTGTTTTTTAATCGGGCAATCACCTGATCTCTGCCATGACTGCTCTGTGGCCCACTTAACAGTTTTTAACATAACATGGGCCTCCCTAAAAGGTATAGTAGAATAAGGGAGAGGCCCAGCAGGCCATGCATAGGAAACACATGTATATATAATGCCAAACTAAGTTTTGGGAACTGGAGCCACAGGTGGTTAGGTGGTACAGTGGATAGAGTTCTGGGCTTAGAATTCAGTAAAACCTGAGTTCAAATTCACCTCAGAAACTTTCTAGCAGTGTGACCTGGGCAAGTCTTCTATCTGGGCCTCACTTTCCTCATCTATAAAAGCAAGAGAAATGGCCTTCATGGCCTCTCAGGTCGTTTTCAGCTCTCAGGTTGTGATCAAATGGGTTTGTGAGACCAATAGGCATAACAAGGGAAAGGGAAGAAAATAAGCATTAATATAGCCCCTGCTATGTGCCGGGCACTATGCTAAGTGCTCTAAAATACTATTGTATTTGATCCTTACAACAATCCTGCAAGGTAGTTGTTGTTATTATCCCCGTTTTACAGCTAAGGAAACTAAAACAAAGAGGAGTTAAATGATTTGCCCAGGGTGACACAGCTAGTAAGCATCTGAGGCTGAATTTGAACTCATGTCTTTCTGACTCTAGTCCCCAGCACTGTATCCACTGCACCATTTAGCTGCCTTGGGTCATCTTTTACACTAGCTAGTACAGTGACTTTCACCACTTGGTTTAAGACTTATGACGTTGGTTTCATTTCTTGCCACTAGGTGGCAAACAAAAAGGACATAGTTGAGCCTAACCCTTAGATTTTCATTGGACTGGATTTCTTGGAGAATCATAGATCGGTAGAACTAAAGTCACCTTGGGATCCACTAGCCCAATTCTCTCATTTTGCAGAGGGGGAGAATGAGGCCAAGTAAAATTATTGAAAGAACTTGGTCAGAATCCCAGTCTAACTCCACCTACCAGGGCCTGTACTGTTACCAGTTACTATGATACAATAATGTCACTTTACCTAGTGCGACATTTTGAAAGGTTTGAGAGACATGGTTTCTAGGTAATTCAATCACTTTATTAATAAGGTCAGCATGTTATTACTACAAGGATGATCATTTGGCCGTCTTAGACCAAAGACCCCTAAAGGTAGTGGGGATCACAGTTTATATCCCCTTCGAAGAGGAGGTGTTCCCATGTTTCTGAGGGGCGCCTACTCAACTTTGATTGGTTAATCAAATGGGAGATGGGCTATCTTGGAGCATGTGGCTTAGGTCACTCAAATCTTGGTCAAAGAGACATCAATTCACATATCACTTATCTTGATAATAGGGAGAATCAACATTTCCCTCTCCCTCTCCCCCCCCACACCTGTCTGAGCAAACATAATGAGCAGAAATACACCCATAAGCCCAAATTTAGAATTTCTTTTATTGTCTGATTAGATTTTGGCCTGGGTAAATCTCTAGGAGAAATTTCCCACACTGTTTGGTTTCTGGATGAGGAAGTAGGAAAGACGAAAAACCTTGGTCCTAATACAATAATTAGTTATTAAATAGAAGAGAGAAATATTCATCTTTTACACTAGCTAGTACAGTGACTTTCACCACTTGGTTTAAGACTTATGACAGTTTCATTTTTTGCCACTAGATGGTGACTTTTGATAACTTGTAACTTTAAAATTTCCCCACGGTGGGGAAAAAATCAGTTTCAAAACTTAAAAGGAACTTATGAGATCTTTTAGTACAACTCGGCAGTCTCTCCTTAAAGCATCATTTATGTTAAATCACAACATCTCTCGGGGACCTCATATCTTGCCAAGGTGGCTCATTCTTCTTTGGTCCTCCTCTTTCAAGTTATCCTTTACCTCAATCCAAAATCTGCATCTCTGAAGCTTCCACCCAATTATTCCTGGTTCTGTCTTTGGGGCCCAAGAAAAATGAGTCTGATATTTCTTACACACAACAAACTGTATGACCTTAAGCAAGGCCCTTCTTTCTCAACCTCATTTTCCTCATCCAGAAAATGAAGGAGTTGGATAAAATAACTGCTGAGGTCACTTCCAGCTCTAAATCCATGGTTTTTTGACTGCTTGAAGATAGCTATCATGTTGTCAATCCTCTTACCTCCTGCTTCATGCAGGCTAGACATCCCCATTGCCCACTAACCTGTCCACATTCTCTCTATCAATCCAAATATGGCACAGCTTTGGGCCTCTTGCCGTCCTGACCACACTCCTTAGATGTAGCCTTCCATTCCTAAGATGTGAATACCACAACTGAACACAGTACCCTAGAGTAGTCTGATCATAGCAGAAAAGAAAGTGCCTGTCCCTTGACTCCTTCTGGACACTCTGCTATTGATACAGCCTAAGACTGCACTTAGAAGCCCCATGATACAGTGAACTGGCTTTGAGTCGGGAAGACCTGGGTTCAAGACCAGCCTCCAAGATATATTAACTGTGTGGCCTTGGGCAAGTCACTTACCTTCTCAGTGACTAGGCAGCTCTCTGAGAGTAAAAATAGCAAAATAGTTTCTTAGTATACATCCAGACCCAAGACTGAAAGATTGGATTAGCTTTTTTTTTTGTTGTTGTTGTTGTTCAGTTGTGTCCAACTCTTCATGACCCCATTTGGGGTTTTCTTGGCGAAGATACTAGAGTGGTTTGCCATTTCCTTCTCCAGCTCATTTTACAGATGAGGAAACTGAGGCAAACGGGGAATTGACTTGCCCAAGGTCACACAGCTAATACGTATCTGAGGCCAGATTTGAACTCAGGAAGATGAATCTTTCTGACTCCTCTATTACTCCACCATCTAACTGTCCCATTAAAGCATTAGGTTTACTGGCCAACATGTCACACTTACTAAAATCTCTAGGTATTTTTCACAGAAACTGTTGCCTCACAGTTTCCTCACAGTTGCCTCACACATACACCTCAATGTTGAAGACATGCAGCTGTTGCCTACTATAATTCACAATCTCAAACTTTATCTCATGTAAGACACCACCAGAATAACTACCCCAAAGGACTGGCAAACGGCCTCCCCCCACTGTCCATTCACACCTTTATATAGCCTGGCCTTACAGAGAAATTAGAGGTGGTATGTCTTGAACTTCTTTCTATAAAATTTTCTGCTACTAACCTATAACTTTATAATAAGTTCTTAGTAAAAACCATTACAGAATGACATAAACAACCATTTACAAAACAATAATTCAAAGCAACATCTAATTAGCAAAACAGAAACAGAAACCTGGTGTACCTAAACACTTTCATACCTACATGCCTGATGTTCTCTTAGAAATAAATCCAGTAGTAACTCACAGTTGTAAGGTCGAAAGGTCCAGCTTGTCTGAGCACCCCCATGCTTGGTGACCATCAAGAAAATCTGCTCTCTTTCTTGGCAGCCTTATCCTGCGCTTAGCTGTAGTATGTCATTAGTCAGTTTTGCAGATTAGACCATGCATACTCTTTCTGGTAGAAAACAAAGGTAGTTTCAATCTCTCTCAGCCACAACTAACCATCAACTCTTAATGAAGCACAAATGATTTTTATCTCTTTTCCACTTGACTTTTTAGTCCAATCAGTGAGCTTTTTAGATACAAGCCGGATACCAATCTTTTTTCTAACAAAATTGATTTCTTGGGCAAGTTGGGACTTGTATGAACAAGCCCTAAATAAAATTCTGTGGCCCTCCTTGACTTCCTTCCCCTTTTTTCTTGGTGGTACAATACATGATACCTCAACTAAGGACTGTGTGTTGAGCAAAAAAGTAAAAACCAAGACCTGTAACTATCAGATGTTTGAGAGTGCATTGTTGAGAGGAGAAGCGATGATAGAATTCATAGGACCATAGGTTTCGAACTGAAATTGGCCATTAAGAGTTTAATTGTTCATAAGGTCCAATCCTTTCATTTTATAGATTAGGAAATTGAAGCCAAGAGAGGCAACAGGATCACATAGCTAGCAGGTATTTGAGGCAGAATTTGAACTCAGTGCTTCCTATCTCCAAGTTCAGTGCCCTATCCACTAAACCATTTTGTCTCCATTATAATAGAGTTTTTCCTAGGTGGCCATTCTTGCTACAATACAGAGGTAGCATATCCATGAATGAAATCCATTCAAGCCACACAAACTACTAGGAAACATTTACTGAGCACTTGCTCTGAACACAACATTGTTAGGCCTTCTTGTGGGATAGAGAAATATAAAAGGTCTCTGCCCTTAAGAACTTGGGGAGATGGTGATCCCATGTAGAACAGTGAACAACGAACAAAACCACATTGGCTAATCCCATGTTAAATCCTGAAGTAAAGAATTAAGCGATTTGAGGTCATTTAGAATAGTTGGAGTTTTCTTGGAGGCTGTGGCCTTAGGCCCTTAGACAGGGATTCTTTTTTTTTTTTTTGGTGAGGCGATGGGGTTAAGTGACTTGCCTAGGGTCACACAGCTAGCGTCAAGTTTCTAAGGCCAGATTTGAACTCAGGTCATATCATCCTGACTCCAGGGCTAGTGCTCTATCCACTGTACCACCTAACTGCCCCATTAGACAGAGGTTCTTGGCCCAAGGTCCTTGAAGCGTGTGTGTGTGTGCATGCATGTATACATATATACACATATATACTTATGCATATATATGTGTGTATAAAATATGTTATGCATATAATTATATATTGTATCTATGATATAACATAATTTATATTAAAATATGCTATATTTCAATGTAATTGACTTCCTTCATAATCCTATGTGTTTTGTTTTATTCATTTAAAAATAGTATTCAGAAAAGAGGTCCTCACCAAACTGCCAAAAGGGCCTGTGACCCAACAGACGTTATAGACCCCTGGCCTACAAGAAATGCAGGATTTGGATGGGCAGAGAGGAAGGAAAGAAGGCATTTCAGGTTAGGAAGAATAGCATGAGAAGACTGAAGGAAGATCTGAGTGTCATGTATGGGGCGGTGGGGGGAGAAGAACTGGATTCTAGATTGAGCAATTAGGCTCAAATCTTGTATGGCCCTGGGCTGGTCATTTAGCTTGTCTTGTCCTAATTTCTTCATCCATAAAATAAAGGGATTGTATCAGATGACCTCTAAAGTCCCTTTTAACTCTAACTCTGTGATGTAAAGATGTCCCTCCAGTAATCTAGACCAGAGGCATCAAACTCATTGCTGGCAAAACTCCCAAAGAGTGATTGTTGCTATTTGAATTGGACTTACTGCATTCAGTCATGTCTGACTCTTTGTAAACCTATGGACCACTGCACTCTAGGCCCTTCTGTCCTTTACTATCTCCTGAAGTCTGTCCAAGTTCATGTTTGCTGCTTCCATAACACTACCTATCCATCTTATCCTCTGCCTTCTCCTTCTCCTTATGCCTTCTGTCCCAATATTGGGGTGTTTTCCAATGAGTTCTTTCTTCTCATGATGCGGCCAAGAATTTAAGCTTCAGCATTTGACCTTCCAATGAATAGTCTGAATTAATTTCTTTAAGTATTGACTGATTTGATCTCCTTGCTATCCAAGGAACTCTCAAAAGTCTGCTCCTGCACCACAATTCAAAAGCATCAATTCTGCGGTGCTCAGCTTTCCTTATAGTCCAGCTCTCACAGCCATACATTGCTATTGGAGAAACCATAGTTTTGACTATATGGACCTTTGATCACCATCAGTGAGGTGACGTCTTTGCTTTTTAACATACTGTCTAGATTTTTGGGCGCCACTGATCTAAACCATAGACCCTAATTTTGAACCATGCACTGACTCTTCAGTTTTGTTTTGGTTTTTTTTTTTGTAAAATTTATATAAAGTTCTAGTCCATAGCAATCATTTATGATCTGTAGTTCTGAAGGGGCTGGTTATATATTTTCTGCCCCTGGGAGTAATAATGCTTTATATGAAGAAACAGAAACAATGAGCAGCTACTGTGTGTAAATCATGATGTTAGGAGGTGTTTGGAGCAAAGGAGAGTCAGGGAGCAAAGGAAGAAAGGAGGGATGAGGGAGACAGAGAGAAGAAATGAACATAGTCTCTGCCCTCAAAGAGCTTCCTGTCTAGTAGGTGCTTAATACATATTGGTTGAGTAGGATTAAATTGAATATTGCCCTCATAGTTTGTGATTAATTCTTTTCTGTTTCCTTCTCCCTTTCTAGGAGAGAGAAAGCTCCCATAGTGGAAGGAGTGTCATCATCTAATACCTAGAATCTCCTTCTTGACTGTTCTATCATGATGGACAACAATTAATTTTCTGACTCAGAAGCCCTGGCGAATCTGAATGTGTGCTTCTGGATTGGACCTCAGGAACCAAGCTGAAGTGGCATGATGGTGTGAGACTACTACATTTGACCTTTGACTTCTCCTTTCATTCATTTAACAAGCAGTTGTTAAGTGTCTACTATGTGCCGGCTACTGTTCTAGGCACTGAGAATACAAAGGCAAAATCAGCCAATCAACAAGCATTTATTAAACGCCTACTATGCTTTATAAGTGCAGACCTAGGAAGTGGGGTTACAAAGACAGACAATAATGAGGATATGGGTCCGACCAAGAACTGAGTTTCATGAGTCTCCGACTCAGTTGAATGTATCAGAAGCATGGGTTAATCTCAGTTAGAACTCAGGAAGCTTGATGAAGCAATTGAACACCCAAGAGGAACAAGAGAGATGGCCTGTGTGTGCCTCCATGTATACAGCAGCTCTAAGGGATAGTTATAAGGGGAGTATTTTGTTAAAACTTAGTCTCCACCTGTTTCATCCCTAGATTTATAACCTCATGGCTCAGTTCTTTCTGTTTTAGGATCACATCAGTTTAAAGGTATTGTTCAAGGGAAAATAAAAGACTCTTATGGTTTGGTTTGGTTTTGCTTTCCTTGCCTTTTTTCATATCTGTGTATAACTGTCTTCATCAGCTAGCATTTATTAAGGTCTTGCTACATACTCCAGGCACTGTGCTAAGTGCTCAGGATAGAATGACAAAAATATAAAGTCTCTGCCTTCGGAGAGACTTAATTCTCTCCAAGGATACAATATGCACATATGTAACATTTGAGCATGGGGAACGTATACAAAATGGATATAAGGTCATTCGGGGAAGGGATGCACGAGCAGCTGGGGGAACCAGGAAAGGCTTCCTGTAGAAGGTGATCCCTGAGATCTAAAGGAAACCAGGGATTCCAAGAATCAAAGGTAAGGAGGGAGTGCATTCCAGGCTGAGTTCGTTCTGTTTAGTGCACAGGCCTGATGATGGGAGATGAAGTAGCTTATATGTGGAACAGGGAGTAAGCTAGTATCACTGGACTGAAGAAGAATGGAGTAAAGTGTAAGAAGGGGCCAAGCTGTGAAGAGCTTTAAATGTCAAACATATTCTAGGAAAAAATAACTTGACAGCTGTGTGGAGGATAGTTTGGAATGGGAAGAGATATGAGGCAGGGAGATCAAATAGAAAACTATTGCAATAGTCCAGGCAAGAGGTGATGAAGGTTTGAACTAGGGAGAGGAGGGAATATCTGCAACAGATGTTGTGGAGGTAGAAATGATGACATTTGGCAATTGATTAGATATGTGGAGTGGGGAAAGTGAGTAGAACCAGCACTATAGGTGAACAATAAACCTGGGCTTAGCATCCAATCCAATCCAATAAACATTTAAATACCTACTATGGGGCAGCTAGGTGGCATAGTGGATAGAGTGTTGCCTTAGAGTCAGGAAGACTCCTCTTACCAGCTGTATGACCATACACAAGTCACAACCCTGTCTGCCTCAGTTTCTTCATCTGTAAAATGAGCTGGTGAAAGAAATGGCAAACTAGTCCAGTATCTTTGCCAAGAAAACCCCAAATGGGGCCATGAAGAGTTGGACACAACTAAACACCAACTCAGCAACAACAACAAAATGCCTACTATGAGCTAGGCACCATATGAAGTGTTGGACCTGTGATATGATAATGAAATAAATGCTAAAGGTAGAATGGTCTTTGAAGTTAAGGTTGAGATCCTTAAGTGTCCTATTTGTCCTATGTCTGGATCAGATGTTGAATGTGGAGGTCATTGGGTCATAGATTTTATGCTAAAAGAGATCTGAGAAGTCATCTAATTCAACCTTCTCATTTTACAGATGAGGAAACCAAGGCCCCCAGAGGTTAGGACTTACCCAAGGTCATACAAGAAGAAGTTGGTAGATCTGAAATTTGAACCCAGGTGCTCTGACTCCAAGTACTGGCACCATGCTGCCTCATGATAAAAGATATTTTCTTTTTACATGCAATTTTTCAAGTATATCTATTGCATTACCTTCTGTTCTACTCAGATGGAATTTGCTCCTTGGTTGTCATGGAAGGTATAAAAAGATAACTAAGTTAACTATCCCAAGTGATTTTGTTGTTCAGTTGTGTCTGGCTATTCCTGACCCCATTTGGGGCTTTCTTGAGAAAGATATTGGAGTGGTTTGCCATTTCCTTCTTCAGTTCATTTTTCAGATGAGGAAACTGAGGCAAACAGGGTTAAGTTACTTGCCCAGGGTCACACAGCTAGGAAGTGTCTGAGGCTGGATTTGAACTCGTGAAGATGAGTCTTCTTGATTCCAAGCCCAGTGCTAAATCCACTGTGCCACTTAGCTGCCATCCCAAGTAAACTTTAGTCAAAAATATTATAGTGTCTACACTGTTCTTCATTATGATGAAAAGCAGTTAAACAGTTATCGATGCAAGCAGAGTGTGCTAGACATCATTAAAACCAAATTAAACTCACAATAATGGTAATAATAGGTAACATTGATATCAAGGTTTACAAAGTGCTTTACAAATATTATCTTATTTGATCCTTACAACAGCCTTGGAAGGTAAGTGCTATTATTATCATCCTCACTTTTTCAGATGGGGAAACTGAGATAAATAGATGTTAAATGACTAGCCCAGAATCACAGAGCTAGTAGGTATCTGAGACTGGATTTGATTTTGAGTCTTTCTGACTCCAGGTCCAGCACTCTATCCACTGTGCTACTTGGCTTCTGGCTCCTTCCTACTGTCTACAAACATGTCCATGTCTCACCCATCCTTAAAAAACCCTCATTTGATCCATCCATTCCTGCTATTGGCCCATATTTTTCCTTCCTTTTGAGGCTAAACTTGAGAAGGCCATCTATAATAGGTATCATTATTTCTTTTCTTCTTACTCTCTTCTTAACTCTCTACAATCTGGCTTCCAATCTCATCATTCAATAGAAACTCCTCTCTCCAAAGTTACTAATGATCTCTTAATTGCCAGATCCAATGGCCTTTTCTCAATCCTCATCTTTCTTGATTTCTCCCCATCACTCTCTTCTCCTTGATACTCTCTTTTCACTAGGTTTTCAGGACATCACTCTCTCCTGGTCCTCCTTCCACCTATCTCAGTGTCCTTTGCCAGATTTTCATCCAGGCCACAACTGTTAACCGTGAGTGTCCAGCAAGGATCTATCCTGGGCCCTCTTCTCCCTCTAGACTCTTTCACTTGATTGAATGATCATTTCTATGCAGATGATTCTCAGATCTATTTATCCAGCCCTTACCTCTCTGCTAACCTCTAGTCTCGCATTTCCTATTGCTTCTTAGACTTCTCAAACTGGATGTCCTGTAGATATCTTAAATTCAACATGTCCAAAACTGAACTCATTTTTCCTTGCAAACCTTCCACTCTTCCAAACTTCTCTATTACTGTCCAGGGTACCACCATCCTTATAGTCTCTCAGTCTTGCAACCTAGGTATCATCCTCAACTACTCTCTATCTCTCACCACCCCCATCCTACCATGTCCCAACACAGCCTTTGCCACATCTCTCAAATGTGCTCCCTTCTCTGCTGTCGCCACCTAGAGTAGACCCTCATCTCCTCGTATCTGTACTGTAGCAATAGCCTGCTGGTTTATCTGCCTGCCACAAGTTTCTCCTCACTCCAATTCATCCTCCATTCAGCTACTAAAGTGATTTTCTTAAAACCCAGGTCCAACCCAAGATAAGAAAGTAAGCCTCAAAAACAGGCTTTAGACCCTGTTCCTCTGACTCCTGAGTCACTGCTTTTCAACAGTACATGCAGATCCTATGGAGCGTCCTGGATGGGAGAAACCTCCAAACATCCCAGGTGTGGTCACATTGCTGAAACTCCTTTATTTACACTGTTCCTAAAATGTCAGCTGCAACCTCACTTGCAAACACAACTCACCTGAGTCACAGGTCCTCCTGAGACAACTTCCCCTCACTTTTTACACATCATAAATACTTACTGATTGATTGTCTGGCTCATTGATATATTTTGAAGCTAGTCATTAGGTCATAAGTCCCCTCTTCTCAGAATTAGGTCTAGGTTGTAGTTATGGTGGTTCAGGAAAGCTCTTTATTCAGTAAAATTGATGCCTTTCTGAAGTAGCAGAGCTTGGTTAAGTGGTCTTATTCCACTTGGTATTGGAGGCCCGCAGAGTGACTCATGTGCACGAGGCCACAGGACTCCTCCAGATGCAGAAGCTGTGGCATCATCTCAGGCACAGGCACCAAAGCACTTTCTCCCAAGAGTCTAGGTTAGGCGCAGAGAAGAGAATGGAAGAAAGACCAGAGAGAAACACAGATAAGCCAGACAGCTTTGAAAACTACAACTTGAACTTATATACGTTAAGAGGAAAGCAAGATGTTCATAGTAGAGATCTGCAGGTTTTTATGCATCCTCTTTCTGTTCAACTTTGAATAGAAATACTTACTGGGTTTGGAATTTAAGTTCAGAATAAACAATTTTTTAAGAATCTGAGAGAACCAATGAGTAGGTGCAACCTAATCCAGGATGAAGCCATTAGCTCCCTGAATCCCTCTACTTACTTTGGTCTTGCCCTCCTCATCACTGCCTACTATCTTACCTGGCTTCCTTAAGTTCCAACTAAAATCCCATTTTCTACAGGAAACCTTCCGCAATGTCTTTTAATTTTAATGCCTTCCTTCTTGTTTCCTATTCATCCAGCTTATAGCTTGTTTGTACATATTTGTTTGCTTGTTATTGCATTAGATTATAAGCTCCTTAAGATCAGGGGCCGTCTTTTGATTGTTTTTGTATCACCAGCACTCGGCAATGTCGAGAACATAGTAGGTGTTAAGTAAATGTTTACTGACTGACTGATTGGTCCTGAAGAATAACGTACCAGGACATAAAGGATATGGTTGGCAAGGAGAGTCATAAAGGGCTAACCCAGGGAATCTATCTAAGCAAGAAAGTACTAGCATAGATGTTAAGGTCAGGTACAGAGTAGAAGAGCCAGGTGTCCTCAGTCTGAACAAGGAAGGCACAGTTTGGGGTGTAGAAGATCAAAGTCAGCAAGAACAGCATAAGCAAGCAAACCAGGGGAGCTCCTAGGGTGAAGTCAGTTTGCTCATATCTCTCCTGCTGGTAAGGGGCAGCCCTGAACCCACAGACATTAACTGTAGCCAAAATGTGTCCTAAGGGCAACAGGCAAACCATGTCCCTGACAAGGGCAGGAATTGATGTATTCCAATCGCCCAGAGGTTCTCATGGTCCCAGCCCAACCAAGGTTACTGCTCAATGCTCTCATCATCTTCCCCAGGAGAAAGAAGGAGTTAGCTGGCACAATAATCGAATATGCAGTTATAAGCTGAACCTGTCCTATAAGTCATTATTAGCCAGACTCCTCAGAAGCCAGGTCCTTGTTCCCACTAAAGAGAAGCACAATATTCCACGTGAAGAACCTTGGAAGAAACATACACTCCCAGACAGCTCACAAGCAGCCACCATTCAAGAGGGATCAATGATCAGGAACATAACACCCCTGTAATGACGTTGACGGCTTGTTCACAAAACAAATAATACACATGGCAATTCAATT